TCTAAGGCCATGGCTGCGTTTTCACAGTTGTGAGTGACATCTCATGCTGAGAACATTACTGCTAGAGGTATAGAATCGGTACTGCGTTCGTGCTTCTATAAGAAAACCCATGCGCCACCCTCTTGACCATCCTCCAGTTTATCGGACATAACTCGGGCAGCAGTTGCAGCTGGGAAGTCAAGAATTCGCGGGAGATCTCTATTCAGTTGAGAGTACTCTCCGACGGCAGACGCTACAATGTTTTGTCATTTGCCGAAATTGGCAACAACAGCAATTTACCCACACTTGTTGAAAAATCGAAGGTACCAGAGGTCCAAAGGCCCTCGGGGCACTGGGAGCGGGTCATTGGTGAAGGAGGGATTTACTCATCCTAAAGCTAAAATATCACTTTTCTATCTATTCTCCTCTTTGTTTTATTCAAAAAAAACCAGCGGCACGTTTGAATGGGATGACCTAATAGATGTGCTCCTACGGCTCATAGAGGTTCAATGTGTACCTTTATTTATGTCATTGCATGACGTCGTTGTGGCGTCCATCGCACTTCGTTCCACCGCCCGTTCCTCACTTCTAAGCTTGCAGCTTGCCTCTGTCTTCAGGTGTGCTTCACAACAAGAACCGCGACTAACTGTTCTATCGTTCAACTGAGTTATCGCTGCTCCTCCCACTTCCTAATGAGCCCTGCGTTTACGGCCACCTAATTCACCTTTGAATGCGACTCCGCCCCCATTGAAATGCCGCAGCGTGCCCTGGCTCAGACCAGTCAATAAGCGATTTTCGCCATCAGAACAGGCGTTTGCGTAGCAGGTCATGTCTGGAGGGAAGCGGGTTCCACGGCGAAGGGTATGGGGCTTATGCCTACATTGTCGAGGAAAAAAAAGCCCTGCATATAGACAGGGACGCAGCCTGTTTAGCACGGAACTTATCATAAACTATGTTGTTAAGTCAGTTCGCTGGCGGACTCATTCTGGTAATTTTCGAGCGTCCCTGCAGTGTGGACATAACTTCCATCCGAGCTTCTTGGAAGACTGGTTCTTCTGCCTCAGGCTACAGCGAAAGCTACCATCTACAGGATATCGCACTGAGACTGCTCTCTGATAACGACGCCGTCTTATGATCTCACTCTTCCGAGACCACGTCACCCATAGGAGAAAAAGGTTCTTACCTACGCTTGGTTATTCAGTCACATGACGTCTTCTCTCCCTCTCTATTGCCTCACCAAGTTGTACCTTTGAGAAACCTCCCGGAGTGTAGCTGAACCTTTTATCTTCCAGTGAGCAACACAACAGAAGCAGTGGATCCTGCTCGGGTTCAGCCAGTCTGGAAATCCGTGGATAATTTTGCCTGCATTCAAAGCAAAGCCCGCGATCATTCGCTATCACAGATAGTGGACTAGGAATTCGCATATAGACGACAAGGTTCTGAGTAACTCGATAGTGAAGGAAAAAGCAGGGAAAACATGCCAACTGCCCTTAATAGAGTTCCATTCCAATACCAGTTGGAACTTGCCCAATTATCTCCATGTTGACATTACGCCCTTATCCGCACAGCTGATTCCCCGATAAGAACTCTACGACCGTACAAGTGACGATTTTCATGCTTTTTCGTCCTGCAGCTTCGTTTTCCGCTGAAAGGCGGCCCTTGAGGGAGGCGAAGTGATTGGAAAAAAAGAAGGCGTCACTGAACCTATATTCCACTATAGCGCCCCTCCCTTGCAATTTTTGTTGCGAAACCGCTACAAGGTTGTTCCTCGCGGCCCACACTACATTCCCCACGCCATTTTCAACTTCTATACCCGATCGCGGTTTCGCAACAGAAATTAAGAAGAAGAACGTCCACCTGCAACCATACCGCTTGGAGCAGGATGGATATGTCGTTCCTGCAGTTCTCTCTTCCGAAGTCCGACACGCCATCTCGTCGGTGAAGAATCGTACGGCACCCGACAGGATCAGACCCGAACATCTGAAGAATCTTCCGCCAGTTCTGTCAAAACTCTGGCTCGACTCTTCACGCGCTACCTGTCGGAATGCAAGGTACCCACCTCGTGGAAAACCAGCAAGACTGTGTTGCTGTACAAGAAGGGAGACCTGTACGACATTGGCAATTATCGCCCAATCTGCCTGCTGTCTGTAGTCTACAAACTCTTCACACGAGTCATCCTTAACAGGATTGGAAGAACACTAGACGAAGGACAGCCATGCGAGCAAGCAGGGTTTCGAAGAGGATTCAGCACGATCGATCACATCCACACGGTAACGAAGCTCATCGAAGTATCGCGAGAGTACAAGATGCCGCTATGTCTCACGTTCATCGACTTGAAGAAAGCCTTCGACTCCGTTGAGACAGAAGCGGTTATCGAAGCCCTGGGCAACCAGGGTATTCCTACTCAGTACATCAGGATTCTTCGTGAGCTCTACAGCAACTTCACGACCAAGATCTCACCATTCTACAAGGAGATCATCATTGATGTGAAGAGAGGGGTCCGACAGGGCGACACCATCTCGCCCAAGCTCTTCAGCGCCTCTCTCGAGAACGTCATGCGTCAACTGGAATGGGAAGACATGGGAGTGAAGATCGACGGTCGGCAACTACACCATCTCCGCTTTTGCTGGCACATCGCATTTGATAACACCAAACATCCGAAGCAAGCGGGAACGAATTGCTGGTGAATTCGACTGCGCGATGGTCCGGAACACCACATCAGCGTCTACGGCTGTTCAGACGACTTCCATCGGGCAGAACGGATTTGGTAGTCTGATCGGCATTCACGCTCAACGGAACGACCATCTCTGAATGCTCTAGCTATGTGTACCTAGGTCGTGAAATCAATATGATGAATGACCTAGCTCCAGAGCTGAGCAGGAGGAAGCGAGCGGCTTGGAGAGCCTTCAAGAACATCGAGGGAGTAGCGAAGAAGACGAAGAACACCAAGCTCCGTGCCCACCTCTTCGATTCCGCGGTCCTTCCTGCCTTGACGTACGCCTCAGAGACTTGGACTCTACGAAAGCAGGATGAGCATGCGGTCGGCGTTATTCAACGCGCCATCGAAAGGGCGATGCTCGGAGTTTCCCGCTACACGCAAGTGAGAGAGGGAATCCGGAGCTCCGCACTCCGCCAACGATCGAAGATCAGAGACGCCGCCGCATTTGCCAAGGTTTCGAAGATCAGGTGGGCCGGACACGTCATGCGTTTCGAGGACGACCGCTGGACCAGAGCAGTCACCGACTGGATTCCACGGGATGTCAAGCGAACGCCTGGACGACCGCCTATGCGATGGTCAGACTTCTTCGTGAAAGCTCTGAACGAACGGTATGAAGTTCATCGTGTCCCTCGAGCTGAGAGAGTTCATTGGGCAACTCTTGCACGTTGCAGGGACGAATGGAGACGTTACTGGCGCCCGCTCGAGGAACTCGATGATCAACGGGAGCACAGGTGATACAGGTGATACCTGATCGCGGCCGTACTTTAACTCCCATTCCACCATTTTAGGTCGCAACTTTGCTTCAGACCGTCAGAATAATTTTTGCTATTCGAAATTAATTTATGTTATTTCATAGTGCCATTAATTTGACGATAATTGTAAAAAAGTATTACTACTGGTCCTTTTAAGGTGGTGGCGACGGAAATTTATCGGGCAAGGACAACTGAGGGTCCACTTCCACGGTATAAACTCGGCAGCACTATCATTCATGCAACCATTGTTCAAGTAATTATTTACATAGGTATTTTTGCTCTTTTCCTGCTGAGCTCTACTCCTGATGAATGGCAACCACAGAATGTTTCAGGATATTCCCAAGTAGGATTCATGTGCGTGTTCGTGCTGACAAATTTGACGAAGCGCTGCGTTGGACGGTTGAGACCCCACTTTCTTGATGTCTGCAAGCCCTTGAACATCACATGCAATGGACATGAGTACGTTGTTTCTCGAATACATAAGGAGAGGGAGTAATTCAGGAGATTCGAGTTGCGGTCTAATCGCGAGCAAACTACCTAGCATGCTTAGCTAGTTGACCCGACACATATTTTTGAGAAGTTGTCCAAGTTCCCCGATATAATCCATGGGCGTGGTGCAGATAATGATTCCAGTTACTCCTCTCGATTGGTGTTGTTTTACTCAGCTACGTTCCTCATTAAGCGAGCAGCAGTCTGGTGTCAAGACTTCCACAAAAGAGGGCTGGATGATGACCTGACCGGTAGACCTGTCGCACCTCCATCACTTTTCACCAAATCAATCGGATCATTCAATTCAGCGTTTCACACCATTTGAATCACGACCTTATGTCAAGAAAGAAAAAAAAACTCGGTAGTTGTAAGATGGCTCTATTTGTGCAAATCTGAGGATTAGTGCCAGATTCCTGTTTCAAGCAGTGATTCTTGAAACAAAACGGAATTCATTGGTTATTGAGTCTTCGAGATAAGACCGTTCAATTTTACAAAAAAAGAAATCCAGATGAGAATCTCAGAACAGAGAATAAGACGTTCAAGGCTACTCAGTCACACTAACGGTAGGCCTTGGCAATACTCCAATCAATAGGGCACTGTCGGCTTTGGTAGAACTTTTGTTTCCGACCTCCCCCTAACTTCTTCCTACTCTTCGACCCCCTCTCACAGCCTACTTATCATGTCACCTAATCCTTCTATTCTATAAACCAGTAACTTTTGTGTGTCGGTTTCGTTAATCTCAGTTTCAAAAATTTTATTTGTATGTCATGTCCGTCCGCAAAATGCTTCACGGGTTCGAGTTCGCTGGAGGCGAAAACGACCGCTAGGCAAACAGGCAAATCGGTGCGGAAGTATCAATCCAATGTTTTGATTGTGATAACGGCCTCCGCTATATAAGACAACCATTCGGTACACTCCGAGCCATTGCACGAGCTGCTGGCGTGGCAGCTGGACGTGTGCTCGTGCGGGGGCAGGGTGGGGTGGAGCCGAGAGGGGGGCTGCGGAGCCTTTCCTCCCTCTGCTTCCTTACCCCGCGCGTTCTGAGCCGGACCTGAGCATGTGCAAGGGAAGGATGCAGAGCCGGGAGATCCGACTGGAACACTGGGCGTTTGTTCCAAGGTATGATAAGGCTATGGCACAGGAATATTATTGGTGGGTGACAAGAACTGCTAGCTGCTGATAAGATTTGATAAGGGGAGTTAAAGGAAAGGTCAACATACTCATAACGCGGGACACAGCATCAGTTAGGCGTTGATTTCAGCAAATGATATCAAGGGGAAGGTGGAGAATGCGACGGCGGGTGACAGGAAATGATAACAGCTGATAGGGCCTGATAGAGAACGATGCAGTTGTTGTTCAATCAAATGCTGGAGCCTCTACACCACGAAATTATGGAGTTTTAGTGATAGCGACATTGATGACGGGTGACAAGCAATTTTATCAATTGATAAGTAAAGATAAGGGGACATTCTCACGACATCTCTGACCACTACACTGCCAAAAAAGCCTCTCAGTAAGCGAAATTTTCCTCCAGCCATCACTTCTCTGATAGCACTAGAAAATTAACTCATCCCTTTATCCTACTATCACTTCACTCTATTCTATAAAGCAGTAGTTTTGTGTGTCGGTTTGTCGGTCTGTAGATATGTACACTCTAGTTCGCTGCGGACGGTTGGGCGTGTCAGCCAGTATGAGTGTGTCACCCCGTCAAAGCCGTTCTCTGCCTTCTTGTTGAAGCGCGCATGCGACAAAAAGTGGTAGAAAACGAGTAATACGAAGGATATGATACAGTATTGTCACTTGCCCGCTTCAACAACTGGTGTAGAACGAGTTTGGCACCGCGCCAAACGCAGCCGCACTGACACGCCCAACCGTCCGCAGCGAACTACACTATATGTATGTACCAGTCGGATCGCCCGGCTGACGCCGAGCTCTCTTCTCCTTCTTTTTAGCTCGGCTTCGCCGAGCTGGCCTGGCCTTCGCCAGGCAATACCATCATCAAGCGAATGGCAATGTAGTTAGATGTGCCTGAAAGGCTGCTCATAATTGGCGCGTAGTGTGCGAATCATAAATAATAGATGTAAGCGTAGCGAAAAATATGGCACCCTCAGATTTGCGGAAAAAGCGTGCTGGTTTCGGCCATAACGCCCATTCTATACGTAGATCTTAGAAGTAGATAGGAAGTACAGAATATGTGTTGCACAGTAGATGAACACATTCCGTTTATTACCTCCAATACAACACAACGAGTGGACGGATTAACTGTCCATGCAATCCACCTGCTAGGTGGCACGAGTGCTTCAGACGAAAAAATATTTAGGCACTGCGCTCATTGATATCTTATCAGACTACTTCAATTATTTCGTTCTTAGTTGATTTTAAAGTTGAAAAGCAAAAAAAAATAGTTAAATACTCACCGAGCGCATAAAGTGTGTTCCAGTATTGGGGTTTTTGATTTTTCCAATACTTCGGGGTGGCGCTGCGTCCTGGTTATTCAAGGCGAAGTACCGACCGCTAAGTGGGAATGCGTACTTTTCCTAGTGCTACATCAGAGGATGATAGACCGGAGGGAAACTTTATGCGCTAACATGAGAGGCTTCTTTGTGCAGTATATGGAGTGGTCAGCGGAGATTCGTGAGAAGATGTCCCCTTAATCTTACATTATCGATTGATCAGAATTGCTTGTCAGAGCCGTCACTCAATGCTATCACTGAAGAACGTCATAATTCGTGGTGTAGAGAGGTCCTCCAAGGCGATTCGACATGGAACAGACAAAAATGCATTGAGTTCTCGTATCACCCATGAGTCAGCTGCTTATTATATCCGCTGTCGCCACACAGTTTCGCTCGTTCTCCACCTTCCCCTTGATATCATGGTTGGTGAAAATCAACGCGCTAACCATGCGTGGCATAGCCAGAGGCGTCGTAATGAGGCTATAAGCGTCGGTGTGTCCGCTTGTGGTATCAGCCTCTCGGAGCGTCCGGACAGTATGTGTGGCAGAGCAGCGTACGATGTTCGTTGTCAGCGCACATATTGCCTGGTCGCCGTCAACCTATATCATCACCTTGGCAACAAAATTCCAGCTCCAGCGTGTGTTCCAGTCGGACCGCCAGCCCCCTCTGATTTCTTACCTTCGCGCACTGCTCAGATCGGCTAAAACATCACGATCAAAACATTGATTGATACTTCCGCACCAATCGGTTTCCGGTTTGTCAGCGGTCGTTTTCTCCTCCCGCTAACTCAAACCCCGTGAAGCATGCCAACAAAAATACACTACATACTTACAGGTACATACATACATGACGCGAGCAAAACCCCGACACAACACAAACGCTATACTGGGCTTTATAGAATAGAAGGATCGGTTTGTCGCGTTCCGGCAAAAAAATGCTTCCACGGGTATTCGAACCATCGTGAACTAAAAAGAGAAAACGAACACGGCGATGATGCCAAGATAGAGTTGCAATAGCCACGAAAGCGTTGTTGTAGTTGCAAATTATCAATCCGAATGTATTTGATTGCTCGATAGACTCCACTTGAAGGACAAACCATCTTAGTTGCGTGGCAGCGAGGCCGGGTTCCTAGAACTTGGAGCGCATTGCAACAGGCTGCTCGCGGGTGGCAGCTGGATGGTGAGCACGTGCTGTAGGAAGCAGGTAGGGAAGGGCAGGGGTTAGGGGAGGCAACAGGAATATAGTAGGCGCGGGGGCGAGAGAAGGTAGAGCGAGGACGTAGGTTAGAGGCGAAAGTAGGAGGGATAGATGTAATGTAATGTTGCTTCAACAGTAGCACACCATTCAACAAATGGAAACCGAAGCATTTAGTGAGAGCTTCCGGCTTCACCAATGCCTCGTTAGTGAACCGATGCTTTCACCATCTGCCTTTCGGTGAAGGCGAACAAATTAGAAGAAGGAAGGCATCAGCGGCGTGGAAAGTGCAGGCAGTCCATAATGTGCTATCAATTTCAGTGATATTTCAGGATTGAGTAACTCCGCTGTACTGTGGCAACCAATTTGGTGTGTTCGAGCCAGGATGGAATGTACTGGACTCGGCGGGGGCAGCTAGAACGTAAGCGCGTGCAGAGATCAGGTAAGGGAAGGGACTGGAGCTTTCGGGGTGAAGGGTTGTGGGTGTACCATTGGGAGACACGGCGAGGTTCTAACAACGGTGGAAGCAGAGGCAAATGACAAACGGCACTGGTCACGGGGTGGAACGAAATTCATGCCGTGGTATCAAATTGACGTAATGTTTTAAAATTGACGGCCAGCAGCGACCCTGTATCAACAGTACGAAACGACCTTTTTGGCGGTATTGCCGAAGCCACGTACACAAGGGGCTGCTCGACGGGCACGCTCTGACGTGAGAGCGTGCTGAGGTGGATTCAGGTAGGCGAAGGGCCTACATGGAATGGGGCATGGACGTGGGTAATACCAACTGGGGAAACGGTACCAATTGCGTTATTTGACAAGGGCACACGCGGTAACTTTTGTGAAAGCGAAGTTGGTTAGGGTTGAAGAAGGAAGGACCCACCGCGAGGCCAGAACTGCGACCAATTTATGTCGAGGTAGCGCAACTGTGAGATATGTTTCAAGTGCAGTATCACCTACTTCTCGAGCTTTTAATTACTGATGAAAACGAATAATACTGGAGAAGGAATGTACAGCTAACATACGTAGCTCAAATACTAGCATCTGCAATCTTTATGCGACGTAATCGAATGGATTGCCATATATAAGAAAAGAAAAGCGCTGATCGCTAGGCGATGCATGCAGGACAGGAACAATTGTCTGAAAATCATCACGCCTTTGCAACATAAGGCGTGAACTCGGAGGGAATCGCAGAATGCCGCTTAGACAAGCTCTAACCTGTTACGATTCGTTCAATAACAGCTCAATACGAGCAGCTCAGTGAATGAAATAAAATGTCCTTTTCGCAAAAGTGAGGCCACGCCCGGCGAAGCCCGGCGTAAAGCCGGAGCGAATCCGACGTGTATGTATACATGTGTCG